AAGGAGACGTCTACATGTGGACGAACGTTTGGATTAGAAAATTGTAAGGAAATCGAATAAATACGGTCGATTTGTGCATTGTGCAAGCAAATTTTCACTTGATTCAATTTCGAGTGAAAGGTGAGTGCTAGAAACATTCTCAACTTTACTGCATTTGATAATTACATTTTTTCCAAATGGAGTAAAAGTGCCATAGCAAAGAAATAAATCGATGTGAATTCATCTGTCGCAGTTTTATGGCGAATCGCATTAGAATGTCATGTGTTGTGCGGCTTAACCGAGAGTAAGATTGAAAAATGTAATTTCATTAAATTAAATTGTGCTGAAAATGTGGATATCAGATTTTATACTTGAATAAGAAAAAGTTTAGTTTATCGATATGTAGAATGTTTAGATTACACGCGTTCATGTTTTGATTTTAATGCACGTTCAGAAGTGTTATGTTTGCTTTGTTCAATGATTATTTAATGTTTTTCCATAAATGCACGTATTCCAACAAATTAAACATAATTTTGATTTAAAAGAGATGAGCCAGAGAAGAAGTTAGTTACATTTTAAACTCAATTGTGAGAAGTAATAAATTAATAAAGTGTTGAAAATCTTATGTATTGTAGTTTTTACTCTACACACAGTGTGACAGACATAAATCACATCGATTTTACATTTGCATATTCAGCCAGACTTGTTATTTATCAGGAATGAAAGAAATCATTGGACAGAATTAGCATATATCAAATATATATTTCAAAACTCAATAAACCCGAATGAAAGAGTTTAATAAGTTTGGTACTTTTTTCCATCTCTTCCAAACACAGAGCCACGATGAAGCCGTATCCAAGTAAAGGTACTTGGCATGGCAACACCAAGCGTAAACTTGGACGTCAATCAACGAACACAGCTGTCGAAATCAAGCAAGAAGTTGAAGTGAAAGAGGAACCAAGAGACAGCGCCCAAATGGTTGATGTCACACGGCCACCACGATGGCCACCATCAGCAGCAGCAGGAAATGATGCGATAGAATCGAATGGCGAAACCGACAGAGAGATGTATTTCGAATACGACGATGATCATGTGAAGAATGAGGACAAAAGTGAAGACGAATGTTCGAAGAAGGAATGCGATTCGGCACAAGATTCATGCTCTAATGGCAACGATGATATGGGCGATGCACCAGTAGATAATGCTGTGCGCAACTCAACACCAAGTTCAAGTGGCAAAGGCGGGCGGCAACACAAGCGCACACCCAAATCAAAGAAGCCAATGGATCGAAAGAAGGAAACCAACGCCAGGGCTTCGAAGAAAGCAGCCATAAAGCAGCAGAAGAAGCACGTGTGCCGTTTATGTAATTACGCTACATTTCGCAAGCCAAATCTCACAGTCCACATTCGAGTTCACACCGGCGAGAGGCCATTCGTGTGCAAAGTGTGTGAAAAATCGTTTACACGGAAAAATAATTTACATCGCCATGAAACAACCCACTATTCTCAATTTGAATTTAGTTGTTCGAAGTGTCGTCAACGATTTGCTGAACAAATTGATAAAACCAACCACGAGGCCAAGTGTCAGCGACGTCCGTACGAATGCTACGCGTGCAAGTATACCAAATTTGATTTGACACACATGAAGGTTCACATGCGCACCCACAGTGGACGAAAGCCATTTGAATGTGCTGTTTGCGGTAAAAAGTTTTGTCAGAAGTCCAATTTGAAACACCATTTGTCCACACATGCAAAACCACGTCCAGTACGTTGTTCCAAATGCTGGAAACGGTTCGCAGAAGAAGACAAGAAGAATGTACACGAAGGACGATGCAATCGCCGTTTTCATCAATGTCACTTGTGCAAAGTCAACGCGGCTGGTTTAACACATCTCAAATATCACATGCGAGCTAATCACACTGGGGAAAAACCATTTCCATGCAAATTCTGCGAAGCTTGTTTCGTCCAAAAATCCAACGCTGATATTCACATGAAGCGCCACACGGCGTTTGAAGAATAAAGTCTAAGCGAACTGAAGAAAAACGAAAACATCTATTATCATCTACTTTAACCATGAACAATTCAATTCATCAACAATCAAATCTAAAATGAACGCAATTAACAAATCCAAAAACCGATGGGGCGAATCCCATTTTCAACCCATCACGAAATATATTTTCTTCAAAATTGTTACGAATTCTGAACTGTAACCCAATGAAATCACAAAATAAACAAAACATTCGATTCTCTCAATTAAAGCTGATAGTTCATGATTATTTATTTCCAGCCCAACATTTCAAATGAAGCCAATGAATGGCGTTTTATCTCTTGAACTATTTCCTCTTTCATCCATGTTCCTAATTTTCAAAATTCGATCCAATAAATTGGAAAATTGTGTTTCTATTTCAAAAATTCAGAATTTCTAACGATTGAAGGACATTCAAATTCAGAATCTGATTCGATACGGCCAACTTCACTTCAGTGTGCCACAGCTCATAGTCCATCGCTTGTCAAAACTAAAGCAGCAAACACCATTGACAGCGCAGTCGATTTTCAAAGCACTGATTCATTTGTACGCAGTGAAAGGAGACGTCTACATGTGGACGAACGTTTGGATTAGAAAATTGTAA